GCTGAGATCAGCCACTATTCAGAAAGGATTCGAACAATTTGGGGGGGAAAAAAAAAAAAAAAGCAAGATCTGGCTTGCAATCTCCAAAGCATATACATATGCTGCAGACACTTGTGGGTTCATTTGTGTCCTCTAACCTTGAAAAATAAACTGGTCTTTTCAAAGCAGACACTACGGGTTTCTCTACATCACTGTCTAAAATAACTGGTGTGCTGTACAAATAAAAAATGGTACGAACTTCAGAGGCTTGCCAGTTTGGCTACACTGTACCAAGCTCAGAACAGGGTTTCTTACTGAGCTCTGAAGTCAAGACTCAAGTTGCATAATACATTTTTTTTTTCCCCTTTGAATTTCTTGATTAAAGCAACAATCACCCACAAACACAACTGCTTCCTTATAGCCCGGCTGTGCTGTCCTGGACCAACTTCAGAGAAACAATCAGGTTCCAGCGCTTGGTGCTGGGATACTCACCAACGTGCGACATCAGGACGGTGTTGTCGCCTTTGTGCGGCGCGTTGTAGATCACAGCTGCTGTTGCACCCCTTCTGGCTGCCAACTTAATTTTTTCAGCAAAACTGCAATTGCCTCTTTCGATCAGTGCTATCCACGGCGGGGTTGTGATGGTGAACTGGGTATTTGCATCGCAGGCTTGACGATCAGCAGATTTAGGAATGCTCACAATCCCCCGAGCACTCAGCAGAGGAGAATGTAATCCATACAGGCCACATGGGCACTGCTCGGACACAGACTTGTTGCTAGAGCTGTTGAAATACAACAAGCTTACGGAGGCACGCACGGAAAATGCCTCTGTAGTCTTGAATAAAGTACCAACAACCACCATGAGGCAGAAAAACCTGAACTTATCTGCTTGCTTCATTGCTTATTCACATCAGCACAAAATGTAGATGCCTACAGGTATTTTCAGCTGCTGGTGGCTGTTGCTAGTGCACAGCCGGATGAGGAGTTTGAAATTTCAGCTCCAACAGGAACTTGACACCACCCAGGTAAGTCCTCGAGGTGTCAGTGAGCTTATCGGTAGAGGGGGCTGGGCTAGAACACGAGTGCCACGCCCGCCTATTGTGAGGTAGAGATGCAGACAGAAGGCGCTGCAGGTAACCTTCAGCCCTAACTTTCTGCTCCTTTTTCACAAGGCACCGTTCTCCCCCTCCTTCTCGCTCATTACTGCACAAATTGTAGCTTTGATGATGCCTCCTAAGACATTGCTCAAGCCCCCTGCTCCTATTTCAACCCAAACGTCACTTCAGAGGACCGGGTCATCTTTCACAGTGATGGGAAGCTCAAGGTTCTCACTTCACAATGCAATCTGCAATGCAAATGACCGTGTTGAGGGTGGGAGATATTAAAAAAAATGTACCCATCTTACGGACTAAGATAACTGAGGCATTCCCTGGGTTTCTTCTTTAAGATTCTTCCAGTCATCTACTCTGTCAGGTCCAGCTTTTTCTGGTGTTTATAATGAACTGATTTTAACATTGATTTATAACAAAACAAGAGATGTAGAATCACCTAAACCGATCACAGAAGCAAATTACCTCTTGCAGCCCATTTTCACACTCTAGCTCACTTTCAAGATTTACAGTGAGATGTTTGAATGATTTTCACACAACTCTCCATTTCTGGATATATAGGCTCTATAGATTTTCTCTGAATTCAGTGTCACATCCCATAACAAACTCTTGTTTTCTTATATTAGAACAGAAAAATTAAAACTTTACTAATGTCAGAACTCTGTAGTCGATAATGAAAGTAAAGGACAAATTGTAAAGTCATCCAGACTTCCCTGTTTTTCTGCAAAAGTCATGCTGCACACAGTACTGAAAGCCAAGACAATTGGTAGCATCTATTTGACAAAAGCTCAACCTAGTTCTCCTGTAAAGATTCTTTTAAAGAGGAAACATGATGGTAGAGAAGATTCTTGGAAAACTGAAACAGCTTTCAGAAGTGAAAAGAAAATGGAAAGAAATTGAAAGAAATAATCCAAGACAATTACATATATTAATTCATTTATTTATATTCTCAAGTTTTCAGTGTTGTGCTAGTTCTACATCACATTAATTCAAAAATGATCTTACCTCTAAGATCTATGACTTAGCAAGTTTTATACACACAAAAGTACCATTATCTACATACAATTTACCTTTCATTGGTTGTCTGAAATTAATGCTAGAAACAGAAGAAACATGCAAAAGATTTTAGAGTGCAGTTCTTTGGTTAGGTATGAATTCTGCAGTTAGGGAATGTGCTTTGACAGTATTTTACCCTCAGCAGTGGCAATACACAGCAGCAAGAAAGATTATTCCTATGACATTTTGCAGTAGAGATTCTGTATCTTGGTTTAACATGGCAAAATTAACATGTTTTGACAGACTCAGGATCAAAGACACTTTCGTTTTATACTTGTGTCACTAAACATCAAGTGAAATAAAACAGCAAGTAGCAAGAGAGGACCTTTGTCCCAGTGCTACAGTGCTGGTTTGGCAGGGAGGATGGAGACAGAGTGGTAGAACCACATGTTAATACTGCAACACTTCAGAAACTGAAGTCAGCATATTAAGTTCAGCGTAACTTACAGGGATGGGATAAGTGCCTCTACAGAATGACCTGGGGTATTGAAATTCTAAGTCTACTACAGGCATTGAATGTTGTCTAGCTACACACAGAGAGCCTGTGCTTCTAACATTGGCACTTCATTCTGCAAAACTCTCTCCTTCCCAGCTTCTGCCGTGAAAAATTTCAAACAATGCTTCTGTAAAATAAAATTAAATACTTTAAAGTCTCAAGCGTATATTATACATATTCCACAGCATTCTGATTCTTCTTTTAGAGTTAGGAAGTCCTAACATGGAGGATAAAATGATTAATGCTACAAGTTTAAAGTGGAGTACGAAGTGCAACGTGGCAAGCAGCCTTTGCTGCATTTCTATTGCATGGGATGGATGCAGCAGCTAGAACAACTGAATAGAGTGGCTCTGCCACAGCATTAGCCACATCAGTCCTTTCATACAATTACTTTAAAAATTACTTATAGAAATAATGGTTTCATTAAAATTAGACTTCGACCTGAAGTATATCTAAATAAAAAACACTGGCTGACACAGTCAGCATGGCACAGTTTGGTACACGAAGTGCTGGTGCTAATCTTTGTCACTCTAGAGCAATGGCCTCTCATCTTCACATACCCATAAGCAAAAAAATTACACAAATAACATATTGCAAGCAACACTGTGCTCTTCTCAGGTTGGTATGTTTTCATTTTGCCTTCTGTGGCAAGGTTACAGGGTACTCTGAAAGGCATGGGTTGATAAACATTGCTCTAGAATTAATACTATATGAACCATACAAAATATAAACATACAAAGTCACATTTACAATAACTTTTAGTCTCTGTGCAATTTAAGTCAAACTTTTCTTATTAATACATCTTTAAACTGTAAACCACACTAGAGAGACAGAATAATTTTATCACTTTCTTTAGAATGTTAAGACTTTTACTTTTTATCTGAAATGGCCTATGATAAAGACAGTTACATTTCTCCTTTAATTACTATTAACTCAAGTTAGGATACAGAATTTAAGTACTTTTTCTTCAAGTCCACTGTCCCTATGGCAGACAAGTGAGTTACTAGTTGAAACATACTCCCCAATTGCCAAAAGGCTGCTAAAATGTGCCTACAAGTTTTCCACAAAAGAATAAATCTACTCCTATAAATTAACTGTGTGGGCTTTGGTCAATGATGGTACAATTTAACTGTCAAGCTTCCATAATGCAATAATTTCTTCTCAAAGAATTGAACTGAGACCAACATTTCACAAGGCCCAGTTGTCAAATAGCAAGGTGTTTAACTCCTGCTTGAAAATAATCTCCTAAGGATCCAGTTATATAAATGATTTGAGGCTGTTTGACATGGGAGGAAAAAGTGTGACTTGGTTCTGAACGCAGCAGGAGCCAGCTGCTACTTAGTATACAGGTAAAAAGTGGACAGAATTTCACAGTCTCTTGCTCTTGTGGAAGTAGCAGCTTCTCGCAGCTGCCAAGCTCCTTCATGTACTCAGAATACAGCTATTACTAAAAAGAAAGTGGATAGCAGTGATCTGCAGAAAAAAACCTAATGGTGTGACCAACTGTGTATCCTGCCATGCTAAACACTCCTTAAAGACAGTTTTTCTCTTGCAAAGCTAGAAGCAAGTTCCACTAAGAAAGCTTCTTTTTAAAAATATTTCATTATTTTTTAATTAATAAATAAGATATGTTAAAAACTTTTAGGTGCCACTGTCACTACCCAACGCTGTACATACAAAAGCAGACATATAAAAACACAGCAATTGACCTTGGTCAGGTAAAAAGAACTGAAAGTGGCTTCTCGGATCACTGAGTCCAGTTGCCGGTACTAAAGGCACCATGGTGTTTAATCCCTTTCACAAACACAGTAACCTTCAAAGCCTAAAGAGCAGTTAGGCTGGTCCCAGCATCTTCTACTAAAAGATGACTATAGAACATGAAAGCTCTAATCCTAAAAATTATTCTAATTTCCAGCCTAAATTTATATCACAGCCAGTTAATTCTTTTGCAAACATTGCTTTTAATATTGGGAAAGCCTGCCTCTCTTCTCATTTCTCACCCTGATACATACATTTTCTGTGTATGTATGTGCACAGGCAGAGAAAGAGAGATGACAATCATACTTGATTGATGTTTGATATTCCTTGGTATCCTATCAAAAGATAAGCTCACTCTATTGCCTATTTCTCCTTCTTGAAGATAAGTCACCAAGACATTGTGTCATCTGTTTCAAGACTGACAAAAAACCCAATTGTCCTTCTCAGTTACAGGGATTACGTTAGAATTGCTCAAAGAATCATAATTTTATCTTCGTGTCTTCTAGTTCTAGAAAGTGCAATGTGTATAGGGTGCATTCAAGTTACAGCAATTTTATTTCCCTCCTTTTGAACAATATAAATTTGAGAAATAAGTTATTAAATCACACTGGATCCAGCACACTGGGTTCCACGGTCTTGTAGATTTTGCTCAGAAAGACTTCCACCTTATCCTCACCCAAGTGACAGATGTCCAAGATGCAGACAACGTGTTTGCCATCTAGATCCATCGCTGCTTTTACAATTTCATCTATAAGTTAAGAAAAGGTGTTTTAATATACATACAGTAGAAAGGTATACTGAATTTACATTGTTTTCCATGCAGTAACATGCATATGTTCAACCTTCTTTCAGTGAAAAACCTCACTCTAAATATTAAATGCTGGCATACTGGGATTTTTTTTTTTTTAGAAAGAATTTTATTACTAAATTCAATCACTAGAAGTGACAGCATCAGAACTTAGATATGGAAAAGTTAAAATACGTATTACTTAACCATTAGTGATGCTCAGATTTCATAGTATTATTCAAGGAAAAGTAAAGATGTATTTAAATAAAATCAGGTCTATCTATATAACACAATGCTTATAAAGCACTTTGCAATGATACACATCAATAGCATTCACCACGTTTGTTGTGAAGTGCCAGTAACTAAAAGCATAATCTGAACAAAAATAATTCAATAGCCAGCAAATCCTTCAGTTTATAGGCACGGTAGGTTGCGTTAAAGCAGCTGTTCAAAGTGACATCAGTGAAACGGATTGACTGATTGACAGTTACTCCACTCTGTTCCAGCAGATCAAGCCAAATATTCACATGTTCAGCCACACATACTGACTTCTATGTCAGTGTAATTTTGCATCAACAAATGACTGCAAATACTGTCTAGATCACACAGGAGTTTGTGGTTTGGATATTAAAGAACTGTCTTCAGAGTATGAGAACAGCTCCAGTAAAAACTGCCTGGAAAGGTCGGCATGACATCTATTTACTAAAGGCGGCCACATGGAATTCACATGGCTTTCACTGAAGAGGTGAACAATGTCTGAGCTACAACAGAGGATTCTACAGAAGATTAAATCTTGCACTGAAAAGATAAAATAAGAAACAATAAATGAGTAACGTCAGTGAAGGCCAGTCTCACCTGAAAGTGGAAACATGTCACAAGGCCTTCCATTGCTAGTGGTCTTCTGCTGACATGCAGAGATGCAACTCATACAGGACAGTAATGTATCATTTTCAACGTCTTCTAGCTGAAGTAAGTGGGGATCTTCAGGACAAAAAAGCGGAAGAAATGCAACATCTATTGCCACATCATGGTTTATACCTGCAGAAAAAAAAAAAAAATCTTCAAGTTATCAGAAAACTTCATGTACCATTTCTTCTTTTTTTAAAAACCAAACTATTGCAAGCTGAACACTGACTTTTATTTACTTGCTCTTTGTCCATTAATTAATAACTGACATCTAAAAATACTTTTCAATACACAGATGTATATATATTTATACATAAGCACATTCCAATTGATTGGATTTCTGGCTAGCAATGCTGTTAGCTCAGAAAATATTAAAGCCCCATTGGCAGCCATTTCACACTCTTTTTAACTTTATTTCTGCTACAAGGGCAGAGAAATTAATTTTACAACCAGTGTATCTATGCAGTATGTGGTACAGTACTTGTGCCAGTTTCATCTTGAATATTATATTGCAAGTCCCAGGATTCTAATGACTGTAAATATTCAAACACCTTCTCTGCAAATCAACCTTAGCAAATAATGGAAACTTTTAAATTATGGGAACTTAACATGAGCATCGTTAAGCTAGGCCATTTCCTTCTCCTTTTACTGGGAAAACAAAATCAAACAGATCAGTACCCCACAGTAATTTTACCAAACAGACACGTATCAACTTGCATATTTATATTTTAACAAATAAAGATCGATCAGCTGAGGCTTTGTGCTAACCAGAAGCAGCAGAGAGCAGCTGATGAGTAGGGCTAAATACAGCATGCAAGAAAGGCACTTCAGGAGCAACAGTACTCAAAAAACACCCCAATGAGAATAAAGCTCAAAAGAAGCATTTATACTTGTTCTTCTCACTTTAAGAACACTAACTTGTTTCTGATGAATACCTCTCCAGCACAAAAAGTCAGGTGACAATCAAGTGCAACTGAATAATTTACCTGATGATGTCAGACTGGTTGAGCTAGTGAACAGGACCTACCTCTAATTGTAATAATCAATAGCTTAAGGACTACACACATTCTTCAAATGATACACATAAACCTATACACAAAATTGCAATCTTATGAAAAGTGATACTAGAAACAAGATATTCAGTCATTTCATTTAAAGGCATTTTTGATGAATTACAGCTCTCTGGTAAAAAATGATCCTATATCATGACTTAACAAAAAACTAAAATATCCATGTTTTTTTTAAACTTAAGAAATACTCAGAATCAATTGATTAATTTAGAGAAATCCATTCAGTTTCTGACAAACCTTCAAGTCATTCTCACATTAAGGCAGCAAAGAGCTTCTCTTGCTTAACCTTTTTTAGAAGACAAGCTACCAAATACTTACCCAGAACTGTCACCTCATAATACCCACGGCCACTAGCACTTTTAAACTCATCGATATTTTTATCTGTTCTGGTTTCTTTTGGCTGGTGCACTGCTGCATGGAGGTTGTACTGTTGCATAAGTAAGTCTTTGTGCACATAATCAAATTTACGTGGTATACTCTCTGGGAAAATTCTGCCGTGATGTAAATATTTCATTAACTTGTCTTTCACTTGTGCCCACAGGTCACTCTGCCATGAATCACAAGTTCTTCCAGTCTCTTCAGTTTCAGGTATATCACTCATTCCTTCTCGGTCTGTTATAAACACAGAAAATATTTAGTTGCTTATATGCTCAAAGAATTGTTTCACTATCTGCTAGATGAGAAATATTTTCATTAGAACACTTCAGTTATGAAGACATGGCAGAATGCTTAAATGTGCAACACAATGAATGAAACTAGGGTTGGAACGTCGGTAAACTGGTAACCTTAAAGGCTAGACTTGCATTGAAAATACTTATTTCACCACATGAAAAGCACCATCGTGGCTTGTTTCAGAGAGCACGTAACTTGTTTAATGAACAGCCAGAAATCATTAAAATAAGTTTTAAATAGGTACAAGTGAAGGTAAACTTTTCCATCCCTTGCACAATAACTACACGTTTACACTGAGGACTAGGCTACATTTAAAATTTCTTATTATACAGTCAATGATAGCTCCATTCTTCTTTCCTATGGAAAAATGGTAAAAGCTTATATAACCATCACTTCCAATTTTGAAGGCAAGTGTTAAACCCCACCTTTGGATCTTATCAGAAAGCGCATTTCAAAATATTCCCAGTATAGCCTTGTATCTCCTCCATATCCCATGAAACAATTTCTCATCAAGCACCCTTCTGAACTGGGTATATTATCCACCCTAGCATTTCTCCATGAATATATGCTTTTTTACATTACAGCTTTTTAGTGTCATAATTGCTATGATGGAGTATCAGGACGTTCAAAAATGAAGAAACCAGAATGTACACAGACACACTTGATATAACATATGCAAGAACATTCAACAAGGGAAATTGAATTGGATTAGACAGCACAGGAGAGTGAATTTAAAGAAAATTGACACTAATACTGAAATTGAAAGTGTGCTGTGGACTGCATAAAGCAGTCTGCGGTATTTTTCTCACAGACCTGGAATTCATCATCTAAGGTATAGGGGCACATGAAAGCTGTTACAGAAAGAAACATTTTTTCTTATAATTTTACTTTAAGTAAACTTTTACTTTTCATTACAGTATTCTCTACAAGCATGAAGACTTAATACTATACATCAGGCAAATAAAGTATAAAAAAGTTTTAAATGTAAGTAGTGGGATTAAAAAAAAAACGCTTTCTCTTTCTAAAACTCCAATCATGACTTTACTTTTCTCCCTCAATATATCACTGGTGCTATAATTTGTGTGTCCTACTTGTATGTTCACCATTAACTTAGCATAAACAGATGTGTAATTAGGACAGCACAGTAGAAACAGCCACCACTGGTTATTTAAACAATAAGATGCTGAAATCTTTAACAATCTAACGGCACTTTAGGAGAAAAAGAAAGCAAATGTTTGAATTCCTCTAGCTACAGAGAGCCTCTTGGCAGCAAGGACTACTTTCTTCTTCAAATCAATCAAAAATATAAAAATAGCTATAGTGAACATTTAAACATGATTTCCCACAAAAAGCAATTGAGATGAACCCTATTTTGAGTTCAGTTAGCAGAAGGATTGTTTTTTCTTGTAAAAAATCAGAATTTGGTCATCAACCTACACTGTTAATATAGAGTTTCTTTCCTGCAAACACTGTAGTTAGTAAATTTGAGTCAGTGCATTTCTGCTTTACAGTTACATTTCATGTCATCTTACTGCACAGACTGCAATCTCTTATTCCTCCCTCTGTACCTCTTGCAAAAAATAGTATGTGGAGTAAATGAAATTCCAGCGAGTGAACCTTGTCCCAATACTGCTCCCCCCCAAGAGATTTCAAAATTTAAAAAATACACTTTAATAATTTATTTTGTTTTGGATATCTCTATTGGCTCTGTTTGTATATCTACCTGATGACTATTAGTGTTACTTTGATGCAGGCTGCTAGGATATGGAGCTGCTAAGAGACAGTGTGTCAGCACTGCTAATACATAGTTATAAAGGCAGGGGGGAAAAGAATTTCACCTTCTCATAAGTAGCTTCTAAAGGCAGCTAAGGGAAGTTTCCCTTGCTGGTATTTAAAAAAAAGCAACTCCACCTGGGACCATGGTGACAACACTATGAAGCTTAGACTAACACTTTTCCATTTTATATCGTACTTAGGACCTGCAAATCAGTAAATGGAAAAATAAGTCTATGATACGCAGGTAATTGATACACAATCTCAGAATACTGCAAACAAAGGTGTTTTCAAAATAGGAAGGAACACCGCATAGAAAGTGCTCACTTTGATACATACACCATAATTAGTAGGCAAAATATAAACACGCTGTGATTCAGATGAAATAGCATCAGCTAAACAATTAGTATTTTATGTGACTAATAATATTGCCAGTAGGATTGACATTATGTGAGAAAAATATGTGCGTATGTTTAGTAGCTACATTTACTAACACATTCATAGAATTATTGCAGACCTACATTTGATGAGAGACTGATTCATTTGTTTTGGACTACACTCAAAATATCAGCTAACTGAAGTTAAAAAGGCTTTCACATGCAGTGAGGAAATATCAGCGTAAATGACATTTTAATTTAAGAATAAAAGTATCTGAATATATCTGTATTTTAGATATAAATATCTAAATAAAATATCTAAACATGTCTCTAACGCAAGACTACAGTTAAAAATGAGGCAGGTATTTCACTACACATTTTCTTTTTTTTTTTTTTTTTTGAAAATCAACCGTTTAAATCAATCAACTCATCAAAACTGCATCCATGCATTCGTTTTATGAGATCTACAGAATATCCCAACAAATCTAGAGGAGTAACAGCATAGCACAATAAGCACTACAGCTACCAGAAATTCCTGTAAAAATAATTTCAGGTGAGACCACTCAATTTCATTTCTCATTTTAAAAGCAACAAGAAATTTCACTGAAGTCTAACAACCAATAAAGTAATTAATTATCAAACTTCCTTCCGGATGTTTTCTCACTTGAAGAACAGGTCTCTACATATTACCTGAGACTGCTCTTTCTCTGGAGTAAAACTTCACTTTAAACAGTTACCTGCACAATTTTTTTCTCCAATTTGAAAGTTTTTTCATCAGTTCAGTCTCTTAATATATTAAACATTTGGGAAAATTCACTGTAATTTCTATTGTTTTAAAGCAGCACAACGGAGCAGATCATCGTCAACAGACTACAAAGAAAACCAATTGAGGTCATTACTAAATTAAGATGAACTTCTGCCTTGCAAAAATAAAAGGATGGACAACATGATACACAATATAGCTATTCATAGAAGTAAACTGGCAGATGTTAATTTTGGGACAGATGCTAGCAGCAGATGAACTTTTAGATAAAACTACATGACTCAGAGTATATTCAGTCAGATCTGAGAAGAGGAAAACATGTCAAAATATTTGCATGAAATAAAAAACAGACCAAGCTGCACATAATGACAACTGACAAATTAGACTTCTTCCTTCATCCAAAACCAGATATCAAGAAACTAACTGCATGGAACACAAGTTTACTTTTCAGCTGCAGAGGATGAAAGAAAAAATTAATAATATAAACTTAGAAAAATCCCTAAATCAAACATCATTCTTATTACTGGCTTGATCATTCTTGTTACTGGCTTGCATGTTTCGTCCATTGCCTCCCACATCTTGTATCTGTCTTTTTAATTAGGCACTCTCATAGCTCAGGGGCTACCTTCCTGGAGAGGGACAATTTTATCACATGCAGAACACTATTGCAAGAGAACTGCCAGCAGAAAATGTGGGGTGTTATGCTACTAAGTGGTTCTGAGGTACAAAACTAACCTAAAACTTGCATAAAGCAACACTGAGAATTTATTTCCCATGCTGGGAAACAGCGCAACGCTGTCCTTCCAGACATCCTTTAGAACACATCAGGGACATGACTGAGCAGAATGATATTAACAATACGTAGCTACAGTGGTTCCCTTGAGGTTGATGCAGCCAGATGAACAGAAGAGCTGTCTTGACAAACAAGGGTTATAAGGATACCTTTGTTGCCTGTTTTGGACCTGAACAGAAGAAGCACGCTTAAACCCCCTAAGGTTAATGTAACAACTATTTGCAACGTACCTGTGCAGTACTGTGAACTGCCTGATACAGCCTGTCCATTTTTATCTTGCACTACATCTTCATGTAGAAATTCATACAAGCTATAAAAAGAAAATTATAGCATACATATATTTAAAACCTATTTAATCTCAGACACTATGCAGCAAAAATTCAAACCTTGGCAGATTTCTAGTGATAAATGAGAGGAGCTCTAATGAGTGAGCACTAGTACCTGATTTCATATCACGAGACTTGTCATATAGCAGCTTGACATAATGAGAGCTACTACGCTCAGTAAATCAGTTTTGAAGAGCTTAGGACAAGAACTGCTGTATTTGCTTTATGGAGTAGTAGATCGGAAAGTATTTTACACTCAAAAACCAGTGTTTGTTGCCCTCTACTGGGCACCCCTGGAAACAGCACGTGTGACACTAAAAGCTGAACATCACAGATGGCCAACAGGTTTATGATCTGATTCTGTGTGCTGCTGCACTTTCCTATCAACACCTTTCAGCAGTCAAAAACAAAGCACGAACGGAGCATCACTCCAGAATCCAAATGATAGAGAAATTCCCAATATGTATTTTCCTTTGGACATACTACCCTGTTATAACAATCACCTCAATCAAGCAAACTAGATTTCTGTTATACTTTCATTTTTAACCATGAAATGTTGAATTAATGGTAAACAACTGTTTTCTAACAATCTCTAATTAATTACCTAGGATATTTTGCGGGAGAAAAATGTAACAGGTACTCTGCAGCCACAACATGGTAAAATAAACTCTTAGGCCCATTTATTCCTTTCTTCTTTGCTCCATTCCCCTTGTTATAAACTCACCGTGATGTCTGAATAAATTTATGAAATAAGACTATCTTGATTACCTTGCACCACAAACAACTGAGACATAAGCAGGACTTTGTTATGGTACCATTAAAATTCCAGACTACCAAAGTAGTTACTAATAAAATATTGTAACTGCAAATACACAGGGGCAATATACAGACACTGAAAAAGGAATCAAAGATGAACATGCTGTTTAGCGGGACATTCTGTATTTCAGTCATGAGGATTTACAGGGTTTTTTGCAATTTTTCCCACTTCAAACTAGGATATATCTTGAAAATATCAGGTCAATGTTTCATAACAAAGGGAAGATATCTAAAATCTAGTGAAAAGATAGAAGGAAATACATTGTGGGTTTTGAGTATGGAAATATATTTTATGAAATGCATTGTCATCATGGTGTGGGCTAAGTACTGGAGAGACCTTCTGTGGTCTCTAGGCACAGAAGGCACCTCGCTTAAGCAGCACAAACTCTGCAATTGAGGTTTCAGCCACCTAAATTTGTAAACAAAAAAAGCTGCCACATACAGAACTTAAAAAATGGCATGACCCTACTTGCTTCTCACCACCCACCCAAGCTTCTGAGCAGAGTTGTGTTGAAAATGCTGGTAAACAAAAATTTGTATGTGTTTCTACAAGACTTTGCAGTCCAAAGTATTTTTCAAATTTTGAGGTCCAGGGCAACCTCAGAAAGATACACACAAGATGTCAGATCTAAGTCTATGCAGTGGTATTTGTAAGTCTTCTGATTAAGGGCAGCAGGAAAGTTTGTCTCTTTCTAAAATGATAATTCAGTAATTACATTGTGCTTCCTATGGTATTATTTCTAGATAAAAGAACATTTCCATGAAAATAGTATCTTATGAAGAATTAATTCCTTTTACAAGAACCATAATGGAAAATAATTACTGTGTATGCATAGCAACAAATTAAACATTTACATACTAGCTATATTAATACTTTTTCAAGCCATTAGAAGACATTTTCAAAAGTATTAACAAAAGTAGTCTAATTAAAAATTAATACACACAAAACTAATTCCTACTTTCAAGACTCGGACCTCTCAACAAGAGACATGAAAATCTAGCAATGTAAGGAAAGCCTTGCTTGGAAATCAACATTTCAAGCTGATACACACCAACTTCCCTCTTCATTAAAGCAGAGGATTAAACCAAGTCATACTGCTAACAAATTGATATTACGGAAATGGTTCCTTTTTCTTTTAAAATTGTCTAGTTTTGGAAATTAATAGGCCCTGATTTAGAGCTAGTGGAGCCTCTGAAAAATATGAAAATAACTTGTCACAATTTTTCCCCACTTCTTTCACAGATCTGTAGCTGGGATGATTTCTCCTACCTGCCCAACACGTTATTCCTATAGGATTGCTTTGTGTTGGATGTGCATACCATGTAACTTGAGCCTGGTTTGTAAGGGAAACATACTTGTGGATACACACAGTTTATATGCCTCTTTGCCAGCCAGTATGTCTGCAAGGCACCCGATGTAACCCAAATCCCTCCATTTACTGCAATGTGCTGTGGCTGTTGCACACTGAAACACCCACATTCCTGTTTTGCTCATGCCAGCTTTATGAGAACTTGAACCATGACAAATTTGTTTCTGCAGGCTCTCCTTTTCACAGATGCCCACTTGCAAAAAAGTGTTCATTCAGTACTTCCAGATACACTGGTATTTCACCTTTTTAGTAATTTTACTTTAAAGTACTGTCAGTGAATATAACGTTAATCCAAATAGGTGGCAGATTAATACTTTTTAGAGAATATTAGGAAAACAAGCGAGTCTTGTGCTTCACAACTATTTCCTAAGCACTGGGACTAAATGTGATAAAAAACATCAAGAAAGTAGTTACAACTTGTAGGCATGCCCATATGATGCAAGGAATTAAAGTGCCTCAAAACAACAAAGCAAAGCACCCCACTCACTGATATAACTGGTAAAAGTCTTATTTTATAGACTGGTTTGAAATCAACTTAACTGTCATGACACCATTATGGTCTAAGCATCTAACACAGCAAATGACAGAGAAATCAAACAGCCTTCTGGAATAATTTGACAAGTCTACACAAATTGACGGTTGGTATCTACCAATTTCTCCCTGAAAAATTCTGATTTATGTGAAAAAGGGGTCTGAAAGAAATGTCAAATTCTGGGAAACTTTTAGTCATGCAAACCTCAAGCTGAATTTCCCCACATTCCCCATCCCTTAGATCTCATCAGAGGGGAGAGAAAAAGGAGAAAAGGGTCCATGTTACATCAACATTTAGAAGTGAAACTGCAAGGACAGAAGCATACAAACAAGGTATTTTCAAGCAGTGTAGAGCATGAGCATGTAGTGCACCAGCAACTCCATGGTAACTCCAGGGATAAACTTCAAAAGATTAAGATGCTAAGAAAACCACTGTGGCATTTTTTCACTTCCAAAACAAGCCTTTCTGAAATTTCTGATCTTTCCCCATTCACAATAAACTACCGATTAAACTACTTTGGGGTATAGTAAATGCTTAAAAACACATTTAAGTTGAATGTCTCTACTAGCAAGGATATAAATATCACCAATAATATTGAATTAACCAGTTTCCTCTTACCTTCTTCTTTCTGAAACCTTTAATAATCAGATAAATAAGTTACCTCAGAAATGTAGGAACTGAGGCTGTCAATAAAGAGCCTTAAAATAAGCTTTTACTGTTTAAAAACAAAAAAACTTTAAAAATGCAACATGCTGAAAAACTCCACAAAATACTTGATGCAAAATAATCTCAGTGAGAATATGTACTTCAAAATATATGTCTACTGTTGTTGTTTCATTAACATATTAAAATATTTCAGTGAGAGATGACATTCTGCTACTTCTAAGCAACAGAATAGAAAACAACACAATTTTAAGGTATTTCAGGCTAACTTTCTATTTTTCTTCTGTACTTTGGAGAATTCAGCACAACTTCATAGTTAATTATGGAAACACACAAATTACCTTTTAATTATATAGAGTGAAACAGCTTTCTATAATCCAACACAGACTTTCTCCTTCTTTAGCTGGGGTTTTAGCACTAATGGCATAGAGTGGACACATATGTAGCGAGGAGAGTAGCAGATTGAGAAAAGCAGAGAACATCGTGAACATGCCTTAACTTTTTGCTTCACTTTCAAGAAATGGGGAGAAAACATTCTTCCCACCCTCCACCCCCAAGAAAAAACGTAACATTTCTGAGCAAGTGAAAGAAAACAGGATTCCTCACATTCCAAAAAACCTCCTGATTTTCCTGTGGATTTGTGCCACAAGTCCCAGCAAACTCCTGCACCAACTGCAGAGGAGTGGCCACAAAGCCAGGTGTCACACTTTTAATGAATGGGCTGCAGAGCCAGGCAACCACTTCCCCTAGAAAATGCAGTATCTACCAACAGACCTGTGGGCTCAAGAGAGCCTTGTTGATCCCACAGAAAAAAGCTTTTGCAAATTAGCTTCCAAGAAACATTTTTCAAGAAAATAGGTGTGCTTGTAGGGCAGTAATACTGGCAGAATGGTCAACAACTTATCATCAACTCCACCATTACTATTGTTGCTGTATCCCTAGCACCATGATTCTTTGTTTTAGGGGGAAGGGAAGAGGTGCTAAAAGTAAACTCAGAAGGCCATTGGGGGGCATACGTGCTCATGACATAGGCTCAAACCACTGCTGCCAAAAAAACCCAAACATCAAAAGTTACTGACACCAAAATGTTCAAACATACAAGTTACCCGAGCTGTATTTGGAACAAATTATAAGAATTTATGGCCCTTAAACAAAATGCATGAAGGAAAGTAGCTTTCTACCCCAGACTAGCAAATAACAACACTCATTCAGTTTTCTTAATAATTTCCCAGTTGCAGTTATTTTGTTAGGTTCCAGACTTTTCAGGGCTCTGGACTCGAAATTTCTACCCAGATTAAAAAAAAAAATCCTTCTCTGGATCCAAAATGAGTTCAATAAAGACTGAGTGTTAGGCAGTGGAAGGAGCCAAGTGGCCTCTCAGGGACAACTATACTTACACCTCTGTAGCACAACGGATGACGTATAGCTCAACCACCACTAGCAAATCCATTAATGCTACCATGTTGTTCACTGTGCTTGCTAATCAAGCTTCCCTCCCTCCTACCTTTGACTTTCCTACCTAAACTGTAATCTCTCTGAAACAAAGACTAGATACATTACTCTGCTTACCATGATGGACCTGTTACTATATATTTCCTGGAGTAGCACTAGTAACAATATAAAAATGTTTAATAACACACTCAAAATTATGTTTCAGAATAAAATAATCCAATATATTTGAACTAGAATCAGTGCAGAGGAAGCAAATATAAGATACTAAACTCTACCCAAATCTGTTCTTACATTTAGCTTCCATACAGATTCTTGACCTGCAAGAGTTTCACTTCAAATATCTTTGTTTCATCACTGGATTTATTGAACATAATTAACTTCACATTACTTACCCTAATTTTCTTCTTGCAGAGCGTGTGAAATAGGGATGAGATGATACAGGAATAACAGGTGCACTTCCCCTTAAAGCAGGAAATTCACCATTATTTTACAGTATTTAGTTACATGGAAATACACAAAGCAAAGAACGTGCAAGGTTTCCTTTCAGGCAGAATGAACCTAAGACACTCAAATGTTGGAATTTTCCTTATGGAGCAGAAATCCACAAGCAAGTTTCCTGTAACACTGCCAAGACAGAACTTCTATTCACCAGCATTTTCTTAGTCTTAAATTTTCGTTCATTCCTAATTACATTTCACCTCATTTTCCCTCAAAATATTCTGAACACCTGCCCTCTTCCCACATTGTGACTTTTGAATGTGAAAAGTCAAGAAAAATATACCCTTTACAGCATGAGAAACCTGCTACAAAAAAATGTGACTGGCTAGATTTTTGCAGCATTAAATCTGTCAATATATACACCAGGCTTATAATACTGAGTACATTTGATTTTGCACAAACACTGCAATGAAGGGCAATCTTATGCAAGCAGATGTTTTACTCTTCAACCTAATACAGTTGTATCAGACAAATTATTTTGTCTTATTCTATTTTGTTATATCAGACTGATATCCTTTGTCTAGGTCTGACTAGATGCAATACAATTTCATGAAATCTCATCACAAGCAGAGCTGTAGTACTACAAGTTATTTCAAGCCTTTAGGTTAGCACACGACCGCCATCTACTTGCCTTTCTGACACAAGTTATAGCTACACACAATACATTCTATTAACCAGAAAGAAAAAAATAAGGTATGTTTGAAATTAAGGAACAGGTATACCAGATCCTGATTCAGCATTTTCAGTGAAGAAAGCTTATTTCCTCACACCACTTAACTCTTGCTTGTTCCACTGCTATGTCACTAAACTATGTATGGTTCAAGTACTAACTACTTTTAAAGTCTGTGAGATTAACCACAAAGTAGCATAAATATTAACCAAAGTGAGCACAGCAAACCAGACACCTGCTTTAATCAATCCTTCATTAGCCTGAGCAGTACAACTGACACCACCTGATGCCACGAAAAGTACCTAACTTTTTAAAGATTAAACTAGATATGTTTTTGATATATTTTCTATGGCCTGGGCTCTGAACTAATTTTTGTAAACACTTTTTAGAAGACCGACTACATATTTACGAAGAGACCTTACTGTTCTGCATCTGTAGTTAATCTGTGTGGTATCTTTCTCTTGACTGAACCCTTTTTTGACACTGGAGCTTGGCGTTGGTGTTTTTCCCCAGGAGGGCAATGCGGCTCTGCAAAAGACTTAACTTCTTTATTTTGAAGGTTGGTGCTTTTCCCCTTGTGACCAGAGTCTTCTTTAGACATAGCAGAACTTTCAAGAGACTCAGAAGTATCTTTCTGCAACAACAGTGAATTGCTTAAGAGTTTCAAAGCACTTAAAGCTATTGCTTCCAACTCAAAAACCCACAAGTTTTAAAGTAATTTTTAGAGGAACAAAGCAATTTACCCCACCTTCTTAAAGTCACATTATATCTAGCAGAAATTATCTTCTAATCATACTGATAAGATAAATTTTCTCTAGAAAGTGACAGTGGACATGCTGCAGTAGTTGCCTCTCCCACATTCTAATTTACATTAAGTTATCCAGTCAATCAAACTAGTAGCTTCTAAACAGTTAGGCAGTTTTACGGAGGACTGACGTAATACTTTCAGAAAAGCACTGAATCACTGCCTTTAAGAAAGCTCTAAATTATGACTTTCAAGAACTTCGCTCTCAAAATAGCAAATGAAGTTAATCAAGAGTCAACATAACTAGGTTCTGAACTCAAATGCAAAATTCTCCATTCTACTTTTGATCTTAGTTGCTTAAGTGCTATAGCATTAATTCTCAAGCACTGTACCTGAACTTCCACTCCTGAGGCTTTTTCGACTGCATTGCTACAGCTGATGTATCTTATGGCACTAATTATTCCCTGAACAGCAATGCGTTTGTGCTCTCTGTAGTGCAAGTCTTCAATCTCTTTCCCCATTTCACCTATGGCTTTCAAAACCAATTCAACTGCAAAAAAAGAAATTTCCATAAACAAGTTTTAAAGAAATACACGATCAAAATGTCTGAACACAAGACTCGAGAATTTCTCAAGATAATTTGTTACTAAATATTAAATTGATTTTAAATTACATTTTGGAAGAATTTTAATATAATTTTGGAAAAAAAATTAAGACAACCTTTTTAGCTCACAAGCATCTTTTAGTATGCATTAAAGCACAATTTCTGTTTCAGATGAAACACTGATGAATTCAGATGAATTCACTGTACTCTTCAGTATAACCATCTTTAATTCTGATTTAGCACAATATTCAGAGTAAAACTTCTGGGCAGATCTGTAGCTCATGTAAGCTGCTACAGTCATCCTGCAGCTAATGGTGCCATGATACTTTCTGTAAGATGACAATTTAGCCTACGATACATTTAGTCATGAAAGGGAGTTTTTCTTAAATGACATTATAAATTTGTGTAACCACTAATAGAAACTGTCTTGCTTTTTAACTGAAGCTTTAAATGCTTGGAGTAAGACTGAATTGAACAAGGGTACAAATCTTAAAGATATTTGACAGTATAATACCTTTATTGTTTTTACAATATTTCAAAAAGTTATTTGGAGGTCGTGGAAAAGGATAATAGCCACCAATGACAGTTTTCTTCATTTGATCGGCTTCACTTTGTGTTTTAGTCCACTGAATGAAGTTTTTCACTTTGGTATCCTTGGTGTATGGCTGCCCCTTGTGCCACCCTTTTAAAACAAAAATAATGCAGGTTACTGTCATCTGTTCTCATCTTGAAACTACCCTGAACACTATGTAGAAAAAACGAATTAAGGAAAACTGGACTAGACAATACAGAGGACATCTTTCCACTAGTCAACAGTGTTTTATGAAATTAGTGTCTTGAATTCCTTGACTAACACTTGCATTTGACACTGAAAGTTAGGAAATGTTAAGTAATAGAAAGAAATACAAGAACTAGAAAAAATGCTACTAGAATACTTTCTCACAGGAGCACAAAAATAATAAAATGATCATAAATTGTTTTATTAGCAGGAAGGAGCAGATAAATCATCTTCATAGGATTCAGCAAAGATTGTTACTGACAGGTAATTGGCAAGGTATGTATTCAATGTTGGCTGGTTTAAAATGATGACATGGACTAAATACCAGTTTTATCCAATAAATTGTAATGTCACCAGGTCTATGTCTAAACTGGGAACTGAAACAGATCTTATCCAACGGTTTGCAATCTCCAGCTGTCGTTCTCATTTTCGAAGCAAACAGATATAAAATGAACTAATGCTAGGGTGAGGGAAAGCTTTAAGTACTTAATTAGAAAATTAAGCACAAAATACACTGTAGGAAAGCAAAGGGAAAAAACCACCTCTCAAACTCTTCATTTAGGACAAAATTAAATCAATAAAAACCTATTAACAAAAATACTAGCTTGCTTTGCTAGTCCAGCTAAGCACAAAACACCCCACCCAGCTTGTCAGGAAAGACCATGTGTATAGAACTGACTATGTTCAGGCGCTTTTTTAGCACATATTTTTCTGTATTCCTACTTGTCAGCAGAAAGGTTCAGACTAGGTGACTGTTACGTTAGGAACACGATCCAGCTCTGCAGTCCTCAGCACAGGAAGGACATGGACCTGCTGGAGTGAGTCCAGAGGAGGCCACGAAGATGGCCAGAGAGCTGGAGCACCTCTCCTGTGAGGACAGGCTGAGAGAGTTGGGGTTGTTCAGCCTGGAGAAGAGAAGGCTCCAGGGAAACCTTATAGCAGCCTTCCAGTACACCAATTATTTTGTTATAAAATGAAAATACCCTTTCCAAAGAAATGAGAACTACATAAAACTGAAACTAGTTTCATTTACCTGTAATGAATATTTGACTTTCATTTGAAGTTGTAAGGTAAACTGTGCTGGAAGGATTCTCAGTGAGATCCCGTACCACTCTCATCTGTGTACACACCAAATATGTCACTGGAGAAAAAAAAACCAAAAAACTTCTGGTTTTTTCCTGGTATTTCATTGATTTTAGAATGTTAAGACTGACACACACTGGATTAATTTTATTAAGTGCTCTAAAGAAGACATTTTAGTTCCTGACCCTACAAATGCTTCAGCATGTATTGAGCCTGTGTTATAAATTACAATATGGAGATGTAATTAAATCTTTAATTTAATAAATATGCAAGGAAATTTCAGCATATATATTAGGACTAAAGCATAAGATACTTCATCAGGTAAGACAGCAATGAAACAAATTGTAAAATTATGGATATTAGATGGCTGTGTTTCTTAAGGATACAAAGCATAACATAAAACACAAGAAATCATGACATTGCAAAACTTCTAAACAGAGTATAAACTCACTCTTGTCAATATCTTGGTTAAACACTGGAATGTCATTCTTTCCCACTTCCCCAGAACACTCAAGATGAATGCAGCTGTAATCTTAACAGGGTTGTGCAGCTGGTGTGGCATCACATGATAAAAAAATGCATGTGACACCAACCAGTGTTAAGGGAAGGATGAGTGCTTGGAGAAGAGAAAGATGGCAAGAAGAAATATTTAAAGCACTTTCAAAATCCTTAATTAAGGATTCCCCAGTTTGAAATTTATCATTCTTAGCTCACATGCAATAACTAACACAGCAGGGTGATGACTGCTGTTTGGCCAAAATATATTTATTCAAAGAAATGAAGCTTTTCAACTTTGACCTCTCCCTTCCTCCAATCCTCTTAAATTATTCCTGTCTATAAAAACATTCTTCTTTACAGGACAAAAGGACTAATAGATTTGACCAGCTGCCTTCTTTATTTGCCTCTGATGCAAGAGATGTTGCTCCAGGTGCTTCACTTAAGCTTCTGTTTGAAATTAATGAGATCAGATGAGCCCCAGGCCCAGCTGTCCATCTTATTTGTTTAGACTAATGAGCAGATGCAATATGATAAGGGTTTCAAATACTTAAACTATTTTTTTTTATTTTAAAATTTTGATTTCTGATCAGCTATTTTCTGTTTGAGAACATAAACCGTGGCAATTTTTTATTCATGGCAATTAGACTCAGAATTTTAAATTAGCAACCAACTAGAAAAATACAGTAAATAATTATTAATAAAGTATTATAGAGAGATTAATACTTGGGTGAATATGTTCAAACACATCTGGCTGAGAAGTTGCAAATAATTCCAGTATGAATGGCTGGTCTGACGTCCCATCAATGGCATGTGCCCAACGATAGAGCCAGAAGTCTTCACTATGTTCTATGTAAACAAATATTAATAAAAATGTATAAGCATTTATTCAGAAAGTTAAAAATTGTTTGATAAATTCTGAAAGTCGTATTTATAGAAAAACCTCTCTTTCTTGTTCGTTCAACCCTTCCCACAAATGTCACAAGACCAATAACATCACAGGAATGATTGTTTGGTAAGGCATCCAGTTCCGACCTAAAACCAAAACAGAACAAAAATGTGAGTATTTGTCAATAAAAAAATATAAAGCTTTTGCAGAAACTTTTCAAAAAACATTTCCAGTTAACATTCAGTGCATTATAGTGAAATTTAAGTTCCAGCTTGACACCAACAAAATTCTATTTTACCTTGTGATAAACCGATATTTAACTTCAGGTAATCCCCATTCCGGCTTAACCATTTCTTCCGGAATAATACTTATTTTAGTAGGAGGGTCTCGAACATTAAGGCTGATTTCTGACAAAGAAAAAAAAAAAAGTCAGCAATATTTAAGCCATAAATACAAATAATAATAATTAAAAAAATTTAAAAAACCCTCAAAAACCCCAGGGCAAAGTTTCTTAATTTAAGTACTCCAACTTTGTCTTACTGCTTGTGAAATTATTAATACATTTCTCTATGTTTTCATCAAAATAAATTATGTAATTCAGATACAGCATTCAACAACACAATTTTATAATCTGAGCAATGTTAAACTTTCCAATTCCCTACATAAGCCAATTTGTCCGAGACAGACAGATATTTTAAAAACCAACAGAAACTGATACTACAATACTGTTTAGATATGAAGTACTTTTTTTTTTACACTAGCTTCATTGTCAAATGTCACTAAGATCTCCAATTGACTTGCAGACAATGAAGTAAAACAGAAGACAGAACTAGCAGAAGAGAACTTCCACAGGTGATGGCAGTTATTAATGTGACAGAAAGACACCATGGCCATGGAGGAAAACATAATGTCTTCTCATGTGCATGCTACTGCACCTGAAACATTTAATTTATTAAGCAGACTGTTTAGATGCTGAATAACAAGCATGGTGAAGCACTAGGGGAAGTGGGGTTTCTGTAACCAGGTTAAAAATGCAGGAGGAATGGCTTCAGCATCTAGAATAAACAAGGTGGGACTCTATTGTGTCTCTCACAACAAGACAAATCTTGCTGGTATGAAAAAGGCAGATTCTGCTGAAGCTTCTACAAGATGCTTGGGTTTGGGTAAAGGACTATTCAAATAATGCACTCAGAAAAGTAATTAAAAGGTATAAACAACATATACAATTGTTTATATAATTATACCAGCTCCTCACCTAGCAGTGCAACATTAGGAAGGTGTAATACTTGAAATCAGACCTTCTACTTAAGGAGTTTCTTTTGGCTGATGCTTTCTAGCAATGTATTTTGAGGACAATCATGGTTTTGCATATAGAGTTTTAGGACAGTATCTCAGAGAAAATTCCTGAAAACAGAACTTTCCCATGCATCAAAACTATTTATCAACTGTTTCATCATTTTGAGAGTGATGAAAGTCACGTACTCAGGACTATACACTGGGATGATTCAGAAGCCAAGGTCAGTCCAGGCTATCTAAAACAGCAGTTTTCGTCAGCACCACGTAAATTCAGTGATCTGTGAAATGCACACGTTGCCTAGCAGTGGAATTAATGATGTTGGTACTGACTATTTAAGCTCCAAAAGTTTTAGGTCCTGAAACAGCACCTTTGTGCATGTCACACAATGCTGCAGCTGCAAACAGAAGCAAGCAATGCATAACTCGCTTCACAGAAATGCAGGAATATGCCAGAAGCATACTGTCTTGTAAGAACTCTTAATTTGGAAAGCCCTTTCCCTTGTGGCATTGTTAACTTTCCAGATACAACCATTCGTAAAATGTAAGGGAACACTGGAAAGTTGGGATTTGATGGAACTACAAATTGGAAACAGATGATGAAAGAAGTAAATGTTACTTAAGCAATTCAGTGTAATTGATTGCTTTAACTAGGTAGCTGAAGAACTTTTGGACGACTCGTGCATGCTCAAAAAATCCTGAAATATTGCCCCCTCTTGAGCACAGAGATATGTATACTAACAGAATAATTTATTAAGGCATTAAATTTGACTTAATCTGAACAAAAAAACCAACACACCATAAGTTACATAAAACGGATTTTTTAACTACTTTGGCTATTCTGTTCTCTTCAGACTCTCTTCTTACAGGCTATATGGGCATAAGATCCATCAATGGATAGGATTATGTGCTTTGTAAATTCATATTAAGATAAAAATCTGAGCTTTGTGCTGAGAAAAGAAGATATTGCACATACGCAGAAATGAACTGAAGATTAGCAATTTCTACAGTTTATTCACAGTTTGAAAACACACCATGGCACTTGACTATATTTAGTCTTTCAATTCTTCCATTACACATCTATTACTATTTACAGCCTAATTTTCCATTTTGATCTCTTCATTAACATTTCTACCCCAATAACGCTTGCACAAATCAGCAGTGTAGTGTGAATGATGCCATTAAAATGAAGTAATGTTTGTCCATAGAAAAGTCACCTCAGATGGCACATTTTATTCTGTCCTTTTCCTATAGAAAGGTTTAGTGGCAATTATAATTGGTTTCAGGGCTGGCTTGTAATCATCATTAGCTTCCCTCACAAACTTCCATTCCTGGATAAACATTTCGCTCTCCGGCCAACTCATCACAAACACTTCAGACATTAAGATCTGGTTTTAAGGCAAAGATACCCTAGGCAGAGAATATTCTGCTTCTAGCAGTGAAAATATTGTTTATTTTTGTGCACTGTAGCAACCACGTTAAGAAACTGTCATTGTTAGTAAGTTATACATACATCACCCTTCACTAACACACATATTTGCTTGTTGCAAAGAATTTATTTGAATTTTCTGAATGTTGGCTGTCATTTTGTTTTGAGTACAAAAGCACAAAAGGGGAAAGAACTCATGTTCAGTGAAGTAGGAGAGAAAAAAAAATGTTGACCAAATCCAGTTTGAAAAGGATATTATTGTCATATGGCAGCACTTTGAATATGTGTCACAATGAACAACTGCAACTAAGAAAATACTGTCTCAGAGCCAAGGAATATTCTTCACATACGCACTCCCATGGTGCTGCTGTTTCAGCACAGACAACAGTCATCAAGGTGACCTTTTATTCAGTGGAGCTTTGCAGATACCTGGGCCTTGACTGTATACACTAAAATCTAAAGTCAGATTAGGTGACAACATGCTTCAGTGACCTGGAAGAAGGTGTGAGCAGTGCACAAACAATACCTATATTATTAATCAGGAAGCTGAATCAGATTAAAATTCACTATCAGAGGCCTGTCTTTATGACCCTGATAGTTGAAATCAGCAATAAAATTATTTTTTAAACACAGGTTTTAATTAATTATAGCAATAAACTTTGTAGACACGATCCAAATATAAACAGGGAGCAATAAGAACTTGGATGCTGACACACCTCTCAGAGCTAATAATTAAGGACATATACCTCTTCAATTAGTCTCAGCAATGGATCACTTTCTATTTTATTTCTATGAAGAGATACCTTTTTACAGCCATATTTCATTGAATCAAAACAGGTTTCTGCAATACTTAACCAATTGTAGAAAATCTCTTCATCTGTGAATCCCCTGGGGTTGGCTGCGTTTTAAATGGGTAACTGGTTTTGATAGCATACTGTTCAAGAAGAAGCACCGTGCCAACCTTTATGCTGTTATACCATTCAGGACACAATGAATTCCACAAAACCATTGACATCATGCCTGAACCATCAGCAACTTCAAAGTAAGCCTAAAGAAAAAAAAAAAAAAGAGACAAAAATACATTAATCTGTTATTTATCATCATTCTGGTATGTATTTATTTTGGATAATGCATCAGCTAGTTAACTCATGAACAACTTCTCTGATTATTACAAATGGATATAGAGTATGTTCTAAAACTTGTATTGAATACTACAGTTGAAGAAATCCCTGATTTCCACAAAAGATTTCTGCCACAACTACCCCAGCCCAAACTCTTATCTTTGCAGTGCTCAGTAATGGTAGGTGATGCCAGTTTTACTCCAGGGTTTTTGGAGGAGATTGGGGAAACACTACACACAAGAAACAATACTGAAAAGATTCTTCTTTATCAGAGAGAATACTGTATTTAGAATGACATTTCAAAATATCCATGAAGGAAAAACATATTTTGGAAGTTGAAATGCTACAGGATCATTTGCTAAACATTGTTGATCAAGACATGATACAAGTCTGATGTTCAAGAAAAAAACAGAACAAGCCACAACACAGAAAACAATCTGCATTGCAAATTACTATCTTTTAATTGAAGTTCTTCTCACAACAAAGACTTCTACTTGATTTTTTTTTAAACTGGGCAAACTTTGAATCCATAACTTAGCAGATCACCAAGCCATGAAAAAGATTTTTAAACAGTCTCATAATGGTCTTAAAAGGTACCAATCCACTGAAAAAAAAAATCTCAGCTCTATCAAAATACTTCATTTTATTCATTCATATGTCAGCCTCAAACAATCATCTGGTTTTGTTCTTACTACCATCCACTCTCTTTATTACATCACCATTCTTGAACATATCTAACACCTTACATGTTTTTCCCCCTTGCTGCTTCTAAAATCCTCTTTTTCTTATTCCACATTCAATACAGAGATGACACAAATCAAGACTTGTTAATTCATTCTAATATTCCTAATTAGTCATGAACCATGCATCCTTGAAAGTAAACTGTTATATCACAGAATCTTTTGTTTTCACATTGGTTTTTATCTAACAACAATAATTCAACACACACACTAAAGGAGGAATGCATAAAGCAAAAAGCCTGTGAAATCTGTCTGCTAATTTTTTGAGCTAAATCAGCCCTGGGCATTGATTCTACAACTAATCCCAGTAAATGTGACTGATGAACTGCCAGGGAAGTTAGGAGTATCATCTAGACTGTCTACTGAGAAGCACCTCCAATAAAAAGACCCAGATTTATCTTCATGTGCAAAGGGAATAGAAACTTGGAATAAGAGAACACCACAGCATTTCATTAAGATGTTTCATACTTCTCTCTCCCCATGGAAGAATTCAGATGAGTAATTGGAGCTCTTTGTAAAGCGTTGCCCTCCCAGACAGGGTCTGGCTGGGATGGAGTTTACTTTCTTTGTACCAGCCTGCATGGTGCCACATTTTAGATCTGTGACTAAAATAACCAACGTTTTGCTGTTGCTGAACAGTGCTTCCACAGTTTCGAGGTCTTTCTCTGCCTCTCATTCTGCCACCCCAGTGAGTAAGCTAGGGATGGGCAAGAGGCTGGGAGGGGACACAGCTGAGATAGCTGAGCTGAACTGACCTAGGGGATATTCCATGCCATCTAACATCATGCTCAGACGTAAAACAAGCTGCTAGTCTTCCCAAAGTACCCATTGTTCAGAGACTGGCTGGGCATTGGTCTGCTGGTGAGAGGTGGTGAGCAATTGCCTGTGCATCAGTTGTTTGCCTTTTCTTTCCCCTCTTCACCCTATTAAACTGTCTTTATCTCAACCCACAGGTTTTTCCTCACTTTTGCTCTTCCAGTTCTCTCCCGCAGCTCCCTGGAGGGGGAGAGGAGAGCAAATGACCAACTGGTGAGTGCTTAGTTGCAGCCTAGGACCAACCCACCACACCTCCTGTCTCCATTTCCAAGAAGCATTACACAAAAATATCACAAGTAAAACATATTAGGAAAATAATTAAGAATTTTACAGTACAACAATCTATCTGGAGATCACTAGGGGAGAGAACTATGGATACAAATATTTTTTTTTTTTTTTGGACCAAGATGGACTGACTCCAACTTCCAAAACATGGACACCAGAAACATTTAGGCTATTAAGCTACCAAAAACTCCAAATATTTTTTCTTCTTCACAAAAAGCTCAACTGAAGCGTAGTAACTGAAACACATTCAAATTTTCTACATATGATCACTAAATTCACCATTTCCTATTCTAAAGGGCTCAGCATTTTTGTAAAGGTAGCATTTTTAATATAAAGTAGCTACAACATAAAACCTTTACTTTGTGTGCCATTTGTTCAAGTGTTAACCTATGCATTTATCCCTCTTTACCTGATAAGGCATATCCAGTTTTTTCTCTGGTTTCCCATAGTACCTTAGTCTAGATTTGTGTAGGACTCTCACAAGAAGCGGATGGAAGTGAACTCTGCTTCTCCAGGTCATTTCCAGCTGACCAAGAGAAGTCACCTTGGAGACTAAAGTTAAAGAAAAAAAACAAGAAAAGAAGACCAAAAAAGAGCATTCACAGATGAACATTTACGTTTTCAGGAGTAAAGTGCACAGACTAGGATGTCACATATATTTTCATTATGTTTCTAACATTTTAAGAGGCTCATTTGCTGATACCATTCACTATAAAATCCTGTTCTGAGCTAGCTGCACACAGCATAGTTTCAGTTTCTTTTTAACTGAAAACGTTAATTTCATTTAAAATGACACAGCAGTGTTGTCAGACGACCAGAACAGCTGCTACCAAAGGCACAGGGGTTAGCCCCCAAGGCTGTCACCCTGCCGCACCCCGGCTCGGGCCGGCCC